TTCCCCGCCCCATGACTATGCAATCTTCTTAGTCAGATCATTTGTGTTAACTCAACCTTCATTCTTGAAAAGTAATATATACTGAAGTCAATCTAATACATTCTCAGGCATTCAATAAATAATTTCAACCTACTGTCTTTAAGTCTTAGTCTTTGCTTTAAGGAAACTGTTACTTTGAGATATGGATTTGGCAGTGGTTTGCTTTCCAAAATAACGACGTATGTTTTATCCGTTCTTATAGATCATAACAGGTGGCCACCTGCTCCAGATGGAGAGAACTGGAAATCACTGAAAAGGATGTTTTCAGGAAAATCTCAATCAAAACTATAAATCAATAACTTGGGGTTAGTCCCTTGCCATTCTTGTCAACAACGAATTGCCTTTCTGCAATAAATTTTAACTTTTCATAATGAACTCTGCCTTATAGAGATACAAACCCTGTACTTTTGTTTTTATAACAGATGTACTATAGTTTTTATAATAAATGCCTTGTGCAAATTCTGTCTAAGGACAGTTGTCCAAAAATCACCATTTATTAACATGTGCTGTTACTGTCTTGGATCTCGTTAACAAAAATATGCTCCTCATGACTTTTCCGTTTGCAATTTAAACTCTTCCTGCTTTAATGACAGTTCTTTAGAATATGTTCTAATAACAAGGAATTCAGGAGAACAAGGCCAAAGGTCTATAGTCTGTTATCTTGTGCTCTCTGACTACTTTGCACTGATTACTCCAATGCATGCCTGAACTCTTAAAGTTGAAAGATGTTAATGTGCAATAAACTGATTACTTAAATCTGTGTTCAAATTTGTTTTAAATGAGAAGGTCTCTCAGGAAGCCTATAGACATTGTCTGTGCCATACTGAGCCTTGTTGGCTTGGGGTGATCTTAGTTGTAGCCCACAATTTCTGCAGATTGCTAAATCAATGAACTCCTATTTTTCAATTTGCGATAAGGAGAAATGCCTCTGTCTTTATCCATGAAGGCAATTGTGACTATGTTTCCTTGTGTCATATAATTTTATGAGATGAGAGTTTATTTCTCAGTGTTGACCAAGAAAGGTAATGTTCAGTTTAATAAGTTTACAAGTTGCATTGGTTTCGTACCAATGATTTAGGGGAAGAAAGCTTTCCTGAAATTTGCAAAAAAGGAGGAAATATAGCAATTGGATATGATGAGTGGGGCTAAATGCAAGGCACTTTTAAAGGAAAAATGCTTCAGATTGAAAGGCAGTAGGAAGAAGACTCTGGGGCGCAGCTATGGTGTATAATTGATCCAGTTTGACACTACTTACACTCCTATAGCTCAATGCTATGGAACCATTGAAGGTTTAGCTTTACAAGGTCTTTGACTTCTGTTAAAGGATACTGGTGCCCTACCAAACTACAAGTTCCAGGATTTCATAGCACTGAGCTATGACAATTAAAGTGGCTTCAAACTGTATTAATCCTGCAATATAGATGCATACCTAGATGTTACAAGTGTACTATTAAGCTTCTGACAAAGTCCAACTGGTCAGGAGTATCTTTAAAGGTATTGCCAAAAGGTTACGTTACCAGTAAGTCTTTCCAAAATTTCCTGCCATGTAATGCAATGGTCCAAAGTCTGTAATACATTGAAAACATTTTAAACAGACCTGTTCACACTGCCTTCTTTTTTGACAAACCTTATCATTCATCAACAGTTTTTCCTACAGTGCAGAGTTCAAAAACTTTTGGAGCCATCTGTGCATGTTTCCAATTTTGGGTGAATTGTTTAGGCACAACAAATAGAAGTTGTAAAATTCGATAGAGGTTGAGCATCCCATGTTTGGAAATCCAAAATATTCCAAAATTATCAACATATGTAGCTGAGAGTGACTACTTTGCTTTCTGATATAGAAAACATTGCTTCATGCACATTATTTAAAAAAAATACTGTACACAAAATTACCTTCAGGCTATGTGCATAAGGTATATATGAAACACCAATTTCCTGTTTAGACATGTTCCATCTCCAAGATTTCTCATTATGTACATTTATGTAAAGGTAGGTATCTAAAAAATCTGGGGGAAAAAATCCAACACAGTTCTGGTCCCAAGTATTTTTGATAAGAGCAATTCAACCTATATCTGTTTTGCAGCAATGTATTGTTATTTATTCGTTCAGTCACTTCTGACTCTTCGTGACCTCATGGACCAGCCCATGCCAGAGCTCCCTGTCGGCCGTCACCTCCCCCAGCTCCTTCAGAGTCAAGCCAGTCACTTCAATGATACCATCCATCCATCTTGCTCTTGGTCGGCCCCTCTTCCCTTTTCCTTCCATTTTCCCCAGTATCATTGTCTTCCCCAAGCTTTTCTGCCTTCTCATTATGTGGCCAAAGTACTTCATCTTTGCCTCTACTATCCTTCCCTCCAGTGAGCAGTTGGGCTAAATATGGACTGGCTTGATCTTCTCGTGGTCCAAGGCACTCTCAGAATTTTCCTCCAACACCACAATTCAAAAGCATCTATCTTCCTTTGCTCAGTCTTCCTTATGGTCCAGCTCTCACATCCGTAGGTGACTGTGGGGAATACCATTGCTTTAACTATGCAGATCTTCGTTGCCAATGTGATGTCTCTACGCTTCACTATTTTATCGAGATTGGACATTGCTCTCCTCCCAAGAAGTAAACTTCTTCTGATTTCCTGGCTGCAGGCTACGTCTGCAGTAATCTTTGCACCTAGAAATTCAAAGTTTGTCACAGCCTCCACGTTTTCTCCCTCTATTTCCCAGTTATCAGTCAGTCCAGTTGCCATAATCTTGGTTTTTTAAATATTTAACTGCAACCCAGCTTATGCACTTTCTTCTTTCACCTTGATTAGAAGGCTCCTCAGCTCCTCCTCGCTTTCGGCCATCAAAGTGGTATCATCTGCATATCTAAACAATGTATTATACTGCAAAAGTGGTTACTTTAAGCTGTCAGTGGAATCCTTATTAATAAAAACTAAATAACCAAACTGACTACCATCAAGTATATTTAATACATACTTTTAGGTTACTACTCTGGGCACATCTACACTGTAGAATTATTGTATTCCAGTTTGGCACCACTTGTACAGGCATGCCTCACTGCTATGGAATCATGGGATTTGTAGTTTGTTGGCAGAAAAAACATTGTAAAACTATAGCTCTCAGGATTCTGTAACATCGAGCCATGGCAATTAAAGTGGTGCCAAACTAAATTCATTCCACAGTGAAGATAAATCCTGAATCTACTTCCCTTCCCAATGCCTGACATGAAAAGTAGACAGTGAAGAATGCTGCGCATGCGCCCACACTCATCCGTGTAGAAAGCGGAGAGGCTACAGAAGCTGCGCATGCGCCTGGCTCGTCCGTGGCTACAAGTGGAGCGGCTATCTCCATGAGTAGCGTCGCTCACACAACGCGGAAGAACGCCACTGGCAGATAGAGCTAGGAAAGTGTGAGAAACATGCATGGCTGAAAGTCGCGATATTCCAGGTTCGCGCACCATTTAAAAATAATACCAAGGAAAGGAAGTAAGAGGCGCCAATAGAAATAGGCCAAGGGCTGCAGAGACAGTGGCGCTTCTGATCTTTAATACAAGCAGAGCGAGTAAGAAAAGGGGAAGAAAGAGGTAATACAAGATAAAAGTATACAAATAACATTATTAAACAAATTATCCAGATAGTCCACAACACACACATATAATGCAACCCAATCAATATCTGAATCTACATGAACAGGAATCTACATGTACGGGAACATAAACGAGATCCTGAGTTTTGTAGTTTTGTGGCCCTGGGCCTCCCTTAAACTACAAGCCCCAGAATTCTAAAGTCACAGCATTTAAAGTGGATTGAAGAGGGAAAATGCTCAAGTGTGATGAGGCATCTGCACTGTCGAATTAATCCGCTTCGACACCACTTTATCTGCCATGGCTCAATGTATTTTGCTCAGGCTCCAGCACTCTTGGGCAGGGAAGGTTGAAGACTTGTAAAACTATGATTCCACAGTATTCAGCCGTGGCAGTGAAAAGGGTTTTCTTCCCTGACATTAAGTCTAGCCATGTCCGACTCTGAGGGTTGAAACTCATCACTATTTCTAAGCCGAAGAGCTGGTGTTGTCCGTAGACACCTCCAAGTTCATGCGGCCGGCATGACTGCATGGAGGGCCGTTACCTTCCCGCAGAAGTGGTATCTATTGATCTACTCACATTTCGAACTGCTTGATTAGCAGAAGCTGGAGCTAACAGCGGGAGCTTACCCCGCTCCCCGGATTCGAACCTGCGACTTTTCGGTTAGCACGTTCAGCAGCTCCGCGGTTTCATAGAATCATAAAGTTGGAAGAGCCTCCAGGGCCATCCGGTCCAACCCCCTGCCTAGAAGCAGGAAAATTGCATTCAAAGCACTCCCGACAGATGGCCATCCAGCTTTTAACCCACTGCGCTACCGGGGGCTCCATTCGAGAGTGGAAGCACCCTAAAATTCCCAAACGTCTGGAAAATATGAGGATATCTCACATCCCCATATGTGCGAAAACCCTTTAAAAAAAACCTCGGAACTACAAAGGATGTAATCCTATCACACAGTTACACTCGGAGGATTCCTGGGCTTTGTAGTTTTGCTAGCCAGSGATTCCAATACCTAGCCARCGTCGGGACGCTTTTAGAAAACTACCCATCCCATAATTCCAAGGGAAATCCCCGCGGCGATGACACTTTKTCTCCTTGCGACGTAAATACGTAATRACGTCGACGTGCTCTACGTCACGGGTTCTGCGTAAGGGGAAGGAGGCGGAGTTAGAGAGAGAGCGCTTGAGGAGGAAAAATAGAACAGGGGGAGGGAAAAAGCTGGGGCCGGAGAGGTGACGGCGGCCCGCAGGGTTCAAGAAGGAAAGAGGGACGGAGTGGGGCCTTCCGCGCGCTCTTCGTAGTGCCCCCCTCCCCGTGGAAAGGCGCGAGGCTCAGGCGGTGAACGGCAACGACAAGGCCGCCATTCTCTCTCTCTCTCCCCCCCCCCTTCTCCCCTCAGCCTCTCTTTCCGTGTTGTTCTCTGCTTATTGGGACGGGGCTGCCAGCTCGCCTTCCTTCCCTCATTCCTCCCTCCCTCCCCTTTGCCTGTTTYCTGGTACAAGCCGGGGACCTGGACCCTTCCAGTGTGGAGGCCCTGGAGGCCTTGGGGGAGTTTGCCCGCCTCCTCCTCCTCCTCCTCACAGGTACGAAGCGTGCGTGTGTTTTGATTGTGTGTCTATATTGGGGAGGGTGTTGCCTCTAAGGCAAATCTATTTACTTATGGTATTTTGTTCTGACATTTTTTAAATGTGTGTGTGTGTGTCCATACAACATGCATGTATGTATGTGCATTGCACACACATCTGTGCACATACAGGTTGTCCTGGCTATTTCCAGTCACATTTCAAAGATGGAAACTGGGACATCTGTGGCCAAGCACCATCAGAAAATGGTCAAGATGCCAACACATCAAGCCTGGAGAAGCTACAGCAGTTTGATTTTTCCTGTGTCTCCAGAGAAGGGCATGATCCCCCGTTCTCTCCTCTCCTTCCTGCTGGTTTTACCTGAGTGCAAATACTTTTGCACTTGGATCTCAAGTGTGTATATCAGGGGTCCACAAACATTTTAAACAGAGGGCCAGATCACAGTCCCTCAAACTGTTGGAGGGCCGGATTATAATTTGAAAAAAATGAATGAATTCCTATGCACACTGCATATATCTTATCTATACTGCAAAAACACTTAAAATACAATAATTAAAATGAAGAACAATTTTAACAAATATAAAATTATTCATATTTCAATGGGAAGTGTGGGCCTGCTTTTGGCTGATGAGATAGGGTTGTTGTTGTTGTTGTGTGCTTTCAAGTTGTTTAAGACTTAGGTTGACCCTGAGCAAGGGCCAGGTAAATGACCTTGGAGGGCCGTATCTGGCCCCCGGGCCTTACTTTGAGGACCCCTGGTGTATATTGTGCATTAATAGCAGATGAGTTTAGAAAGTAACTGGAGATATTCATGGACAAGCAGTGACTGTGGCTGCTAGCTATGTTTGTTTCCTCCATTAACAGAGCAGAATAATAATAATAATAATAATAATAATAATAATAAACTTTATTTATATCCTGCCACCATCTCCTCTAGGGGACTTGGGATGGCTTACAAAGGGAAAGGGTAGCTCAATATACAAAATATTTACAACATATTCTCGATGTGTTTTGGGGGGTACGGGGAGGGATAACAAAAGTAATAATACCCAGAATGATATGTTATATATGTTAAGGATGCATGTATATGTATGGAGATTTTAGGCCCCTTCCACACAGCTGTATAAAATCACATCCAACTGGATTATATGGCAGTGTGGATTCAGATAACCCAGCTCAAAGCACATATCTACCTTGATATTCTGGGTTGTATGGCTGTGTGGAAGGGCTCTGAGCATCTCTCAGGAGTGTTTTAGTTGTGTGTGGCTGAGTAACGGGATGCTGGGCTCTATGGCCCTTGCAGTCCCTTCCCACCCATTGCTTCTGTGCATTGCCTTTGAGGAATTCACACACATAAATACACATGAATACACATGTATACACAAACATATGCATACATCCTTGACAGCATATAATTCTGGGCATTATTACTTTTGGTATTCCTCCTTCAAATGTGTGTGTGTATAAAGGGTGTCCCAAAAGTCTTTAGACGTATGAAAAATTAACAGACATATTATATTTTATCTATATTACACATGCATTTAAATTTATTCTTGCAAATATACAGTACGCAGACAATGTTTTTATTTTTTATATTTATTTTTTTAATTAAGTATTATTAGACAATTTATAAAAAAAATATTTCCCCTATATGACTTATGTCGCTATATATAGGCAATCCCCAAGTTATGAGCAAGAGCGGTTTTGTAGGTTTGTTCTTAAGTTGAATTTGTATGTAAATTGGAACAGGCACATTTTAAAAATGTAGCTTACAGACATGCATGCATGCTTTGGATAGCACGGGGAAGGGTTACCACTCCTGTGGTGTTTGTTTTGTTATCTGTGCCCCTGCTCAGAAGATTGCATCTAACTTTCAGCCCCTATGATAATTGGACTTTGAAAAAAATTCTTGTTGTGGAAACAAGGATTGGTGAGAAAGCTTCAGTTGAGACACCACAATAATTCTCCAGGAGTGAATTTTATTTCTGAGGGATAGATTTCTCTCATTTCCTGTTGTCTCATCCCTGTTCTTAACCATGAATCGTTTGTAAATAAAATGTTTGTAACTTGGGGAGGACTGCCTGTAAATTGATTTAAACTAACTTCTGCAACCTGCACCATTGAAAAACAACTGAAATGGTTAAACTAAAACATTGAAATGTACTATCCATCTCCCATTTCAAAGACACACAATGAATATATTATGAACCAGCTCATCTTATAATTTTAGACCGTTTCTTCATTCTATCTTACTACGACATGTAAAGAACATTTTGTAAAATTTTGTAATGAGTATTTTGTAAATAAAAATGTATTGAGCTACAATTTCCCATATGCCCTATGTATGTTGACCTTTGTGTGTGTGTGTGTGTGTACGTATATGTATATATGCATCCTTAACAACATATAATTCTGGATGTTATTACTTTGGGTATGCCCCCCCCCCCTAAAAAAATAAGTATGCACTCTTGACAGGATTAAGTATGGCAAAATGGCAAGAAGAACTTTGTGAGGTTTGCAACTCTTGTGCTTTGATAAGCGGGCAGTACATGGTTGCAAAGGGATGACACCTTGCGCCTGCAATTTAAGATGGAATTTGTAACCCTGATTGTGAGAACATTTATGATGATGATAACATTTACTCCTCAATCTAAATGTATTGACTCAGCTATCAAATAGTCATCATAGCAACTCCTTGCTGTTAAAGTGTGTATATTTTTTAGTGTATAAGGTGGTGGTGCTGCTGTCATACCCAAATCAATAATTTTGGCCTCTAAACCTGCCCTCAACGTATACGTGAGCATATACAGTAAATCCTTAACAGTAGGTAATTCTGTACATTATTATGTTTAGTACTTCCACCACCACCCCAAAAATTTATGCACCATCCAAAGGATTAAAGTAGAGGAGTGTGGTGAAATGGCAAGGGAAACTTCAAGTGAGGTTTGCAACAACTCAAAAAGGCAAGCTCAAAAAGACACTTGGAACACCTGACATACATTTGTCATTCAAGGTGGAATTTGTTACTCAGATTATGATAGCATCTATTCCTCAATATAAATGTACTGACAGCTGTCATATAGTCACTACAGCAGCTATTAGCTGTTAAAGATGAATATGTTTTTGGAGGGGTCCCCTGGATATGGTGCTGTTGAGTCTGATATAGACACACCTGCAAGTTTAGTTCGGCAGGCAGTCTTCTCCCCTTTTCTACTTTAAATTGGAGGAAAACAGGAACAAACAAAATAAACAAACCCCAAAACCTTGGGAGAGTGTCTTGTCCCTTGTCTGGAATGGCATTTGAATAGTCAATGTGGAATAATAAAGACCCAGGTACTAAGGATGCTCTAGGAAGAAAGAGGAGGAGGGCTAAAGAGGGTTTTCTTCCACTGCAGATCTGAATGTTGTCATATAGTTCAGAAGTAATGGGATCCCTCTTACTTTTGTGGGAATATTTATAAAACACTTTAGACTTGGTTGTATCTTACAAAGCAAGTGAGGCTTGGACTTCTGATGTATTTGGATGGACAATATGGTTCAACGCATGTGAAGTCGGGACTTGGTTCTCTATAAAGAATTGGGGAAAATCTGTGGACCCAGACTGTGCAGTGTCACTTGCAGATAATAGTGTTTATATGTGCGTTGATTTGTCTGAATGTGGGCTATATTATAGGAAATGTAGCCTTGTATCACTCCCTGGTCCCATTACTATATATGTGAACCTGGAAGTCAAAGAATCAGATCTGAATTAGAAATAAAGAAAAGCCTATGATTTTTTTTTGCTTAGAATACTATAGGGTAAGAAATCACAAATTATTTAGTGTTGCGGGAAATGTGTAGAATTAGAATTAGTATTTTTAAGAAGAAGGAAAAGTCAGAGGGATTAGAAGTAAAGAAATATAACTGCAACATGTTCAAGGTGTAAAGAATATATCTTTCAAAAAGCAACGTGATATGTTATTCTGTTGGTATGATAGTAAGTTTCAACTAAGAATAGTGTGTCTCCTCTGAATAAATGACTGGAGGAGGTAATGGGCGGATGAAGAAAAACAAATTGAAACTGAATCCAGACAAAACAGAGGTGCTTCCCATCAAGGGTCCTAACCTGGGGGTGAAAGTGTACCAACCAGTTCAGGATGGGGTTACAGTCCCCCTAAAAGACTATATTTGCAGCTTGGGAGTGATGCTGAATCTGTCTCTTCAAATATAAGCCCAGGTAGATGCGATGGTCAGGAGTGCTTACTATCAGCTTCGGTTGATACACCAGCTGCGCTCCTTCCTAGATTTGGAGGGCCTATAGTGCATGTGCTGGTAACCTCAAGGTTGGACTTCTGCAATGTGCTTTACATTGGGCTTCCTTTGTACTAAGTTCGGAAACTCCAGTTGGTTCAAAATATTGCAGCCAGACTGGTTACAGGAACATCTAGGAGTGAGCATATTACACCTGCCCTAAAGTCACTCTAATGGCTTCCAGTTAATTTCTGGGCAAAGTACAAGGTGTTGGCTTTTAAAACTACATGGTTTGGGTCCAGGTTATCTAAAGGATCGCCTTCTCCCATACAATCCTCCATGAACACTTAGTTCCTCTGAGGGGGCGATTACTCCAACCAGCCAGAATTCAACTGGTGACTGTCAACCAGAGGACCTTTTCATCGGCCACCCCAAGATTGTGAAAAACCTGCCGGAAGAGCTCCAAGAGCTAAATAAGTTGTCAGAATTTAAGAACAATTTAAAGACCTATCTCTTCTGGCAGGCCTACCCAGACAGTTTTTAAGCATGAATTTTAAATGTGTGTCCTTTGTTTAATCTGTGTGTTTTAATATGTATATTTTATAGAAATACATTTTAATATGTGTATTTGTGGTATTTTTACAAAGTTTATGTGTTTTAATTATTTTGTAATCCACAATGAGGAGAGGTGAGTAAGAAATGATTTTTTTAAAAGCTATAGAACCTAAAAGGTGTATACCAACTGATGAGAAATCATAATTACTTGCAAA